AGCAGTAGGGACCTGGTGCTGAACCAGGAACAGAAATATGTCCAGCAGGCAGTGGACATGCTCATCGGACAGAGGGCACAGGTGTTCATCGGTAATGGGGTGGGTGTCGGATTGCTCTTCCATGAACTCTTCTTGATTGCTGACGGCCCGTTGGTTACGACAGTTCTCCAGCCTGAGTGGACAGGTCATCATGCTGCGGATGGCGAACGGCATCTCCCCCGAGACCAACAGGCATTGGCAACCTGTCCGGTCCTTGAATTCATAGCGGCTTTGTTCTCTGGGACATTAGCGATAGGAAGAGGGACAGTTACACCAATCCGCAAATACCTACTCACTTGGAACTTTGTACGTACTGATCCTTGTAGAGTCGCTTGTTGTAGCGCAGTCATTTGCACTAATGCCTTGTCATGATATAATACAGGATCCAGTAAGTCCGCATAAATCAGAAGATACTATGTATACTAAGGTATAGTCTACGTAAACGGTTCATGAGCATCGTCAAGATCACCAGAAGCGATTGCTCTCCGGTGGAAGGTCGCTTGCCATACGCAGCATAACAATGTTAGACGTGAGACTAGAGAACTGCACAAGCCAATGAGCTTTTGATCGGCACCCAGAAGACAAGATTTGACTCACCCCATTGCCGATGAGCACCTGTGCCCTCTGGCCAATAAGCATATCCACGGCCTGCGCAACATACTTCTGTTCCCAACTCAGCCTCAAATCGCGACTGCTTGTCACCTTCTTGAAATGCCCTGTCGCCGCCAGCGCGTCTTTCAGCTCCTGCAGCCACTCCTTCGCGCCGTTCGTCATAATATACACATTTTTCAGGCCTTTTCCCTCTGGCGTCTCGCGCACCTCCTCAGCCCTCGCTACGATCTGCTCGATGCTAGGGAAGCAATGCTTCATGTAGATCTGCGCGTTCTCCTCCGTCGCTTCGCCCCACCCGGAGCCCGGCGGAGGCTCGAACTTGTCCGGCAGCTCTGGGAACGAGTTGAACCCGTTGTAGCGACTGGACCACCGCGCGAGATGCATGCAGTGGTCCGCGAAGTCGCCCCGCCGAATGTGCAGCACCAGCAGGCCAGGAAGCGGTGGGTAGGGATTGCCGTCGCCGCTGCCGCTACCGAAGAACGGGAAGGATGGGAAGTAGCTTTCTAGACCGGATGCGGGCGAGAAGATCGGTCGGTTGGTAGTGAAGGCATCTTCGATAAGTGGAGACCAGCGGAACTCTGTCATGATAGGTGACTTGGCAAAGCCAGGGAAGATGTCAAGCACGCGAGTTGAACCAAAGATCCTGTCAATAGGTATAAGGACATGACTGTGTCCCTGCGGGAACATCGAAGTATACTCACCAGATAGAAAAAATCTGTTCGGACTCGCGGTCGATCTCGATACACCGGTCGGACTCGTTCAATTTCTGTACCCATCCCTCCAGCACGGCCTGCGCTGAGGCTTCCGAGTCCAAGGTCCGCGTTACTTCGTCACTCATGATCTTCACTGGAGACGGGCAGACTCCATCAAAGTACTCCTTGATCACAGCGCGAGGCGGAGGATCGCCGGGCGGGAATGGCCCGCCAACAGTAGGACCTATGCCACAGTTGACGCAGCCGCACCAGTGACGCCAAGGTATAGCACGTACCTCCTATCAACGCTGAGAGAGGAATGCGTGAAGGAATCAGTTTGCCATTATAGTCGGTGTAGTCTGGGCCATCCCGATTCCATGTATAGTTGTCAAAGACGAATCTGCGGCCGATTCGGACATTAGCACGAGCCGCGTGGATGGGGCACCCTACGTACGAACGTCCTGAGCTGTATGCCAAGTAAGAGTTTAGAAGGAGCTCTTGCATGGCATTGCCCCAACCCGACCCTGAGGACGAGCTCGTCAGTCAGTCCCACGCATATAGTGAAGCAGTGGCTCGGTCTCGATGGCCTTCTGCAGCAGCATCTCCTCCAAATTATGGAGTCCTACAGTAGCCTACTGTCGCATCTGGAAGAACAGACTGTACGTACAATGGACGTGATTAGCCATCCACAGGTATCTCCCGTTCCGGCCTTCTGGATAAGGCAAATCCGGGTTGTGTTGTGGCAACTGCAGCTCCTGCTGGTGATACTGAGGATACAGCGGAGGGAATGAATGATTCTCGGGTGCGTCTTCGATCAAAACAGTCACTTCGCGAGTGTCAAGGTCAAGGCTACGGAAGATGGCTATACACGAGAGCAAGGCGAGAGCAACGAACGCGATGCGTATATAGCGCTTGTTGGGCCAGCGCAGCCATGACGTTCGCGGGTTATCTCTACCGTAGGTTACTGGGAGGACGTCGTTGTCGGACGTTCTAACATTATTGGCGAACCACTGGGAGAACATGGACGACGTCGATGAGCATGCAGAGTCGCACGGATCAGGTGTAGGCGCCTACACGACCGTCGCGCATCGCCCGCATTAGATCTCCGCGGCTATCTCTGGCGGCAAATTGCGGTCACCAGGATTTGCCTTAGGCGTTTGGAAATTGGGTGGGAGTCTAGCACAGTATTTGGCCGTATTTGCGACTGCACAGTTCCTCTCAGCCACAGCACCCACTTTCCCGCCCGCCACCAAGTCCCGCCGCAAAAGATGGCCAGCAACGACCTCCAATGGCTGCTTCTCCGCGTCTGTCGCGTTCATTTATTCGCCGTAGGCTAAAACACTCAATTTCGCACCTATTTGTAGAAGCACAACTCGTTTTTCGTGAAGAAGGTCGCGGAGGGCCCTATTTTCTCGAAGGAGCCGGTGAGTTACATTGTGCAAGGGCTCATGTGTCGGTAAGATACTGACACCACTATGAACTGCAGGGTAACCTCACCAACCTCCACTCGCACAAGTACTCTGGCCTTTCCAACTCCAAGGTAAGCCACAGGTGGCAAAATGAGGAAAATAGAAGCTCAGCAGCGCTCGAACAGACCATTGATGTGAGCGCGACCGAGGGTGGTGTCAAGCTCACTACCCGCAAGAAGGGCGCTTCACCACACGCTGTGCACTCCAGCTTTGTCACCTCTGCTGTCCGCCCGCGCTCTGGCACGCGTCGCGCGCTCGGTATCGCCGCTAAGCTCGCGAGGCGCGGCTACCGCCCCGACCTCCGCCAGGTAAGCCATCTCTGCATGTCTCACTTTTCCTTTCCTCTTCTCTGTCACTCGTTGGTCCTCAAGAATCGCCCCGACTGCGATGTATTGGCCGACAATATGCACCATCTAGAGCCCGCTGGACATTATGAAAGTTGGGTGTGGACATGATGTGCAAGAATGCGTGGTCCGGCACGGAGTCGATCAAACTCTGCCCGGATACTCGCCATGTCGCTATCGGATCCCGTTCGAATTTCGCCGCGGTCGTCCGACACTTTGGCGCTCACATTCTTCAGTTTACTCCTTGTCGGCGTGATCGTGACCGAATGCTCACCTCGCGCTTTCATCCATAGGCTACTCTTGCTCGCGTCTCCGCCATCCTCGAGTCGCAAAAGGATAACAAGCCGTCATACCCGAAGAAGCTGCGGGGAAAGAAGAAGAACATTGGTCTCTAGGCTCATTGTGGAGGTAGTCTGTTTTGTATTTTCTCGCTTATCTCTCTCTCCACCATTGCAATTGCATCTCGCATGTCTATGTCTACGCTATGCAGTATATATGCGACCGCCGCATGCAGCCTGCTATGCGTGCAAGTCGTCTCACACACCAGCCACAAGGTACAAGATTGATTGGCTGAGCTACAAATACACGTTTATCTGCGATGGTATCCTCAAGCATACTCGTACAAAGTGTTCCCGTCTTTACATGCGGCAGTCGCATGTCTATATCAATGGCCGCCCCGCGGGCTGGCTGATCCTACCGCCACCTCCAATGTTATTCCGGTTCTTCCCAGTGTGCATATCCTTCCTCGGTCTGTTCAGCTCGGCCTTCCTGTACAAGCTCTCCTGGAGACGACGCTCATGTTCATCTCCGCCGCTGCCCTTGCGCTTCTCCTTACGAGGCACTTCCTCCTCGTGCTGTTCGTGGTGCGGGGCTTGCTCGCCCGGTGCAGCCGGACGCGGATAGTCCGTCGGCTCCTCAGGCTGGGGGGCCGTGAATTGGGGCTCACTGTATGTAGAGAAACGTCATAAGTTAACGCGTAGGGCACGACGCGTACGACGTACGGGGCTGGGTGCAGTTTGGGCCTTGAGTTCACTGACAGACGACGGCCGCCAACCTTCACTGAAAAGCGACGACGTTAGCATGACACGTCGCCGTCCCTCATTGCACATAGACTCACTCGCCGGGGGGTGCTGCGCGAGTGTCTCTGTCATACTAGTCGTGGTCGTTGGTCGTGGTCGTGTGAGGGTGCTGGGGATAGTGAGTGGATGCAATGATAGTGGGTAGATGGTGCATGATGGTGCAAGCCGCGGTTATATAACGCGGCTCGGGGCGAGTTGGGCAGCTGACCTGGCATCTGGCCTTCTCCACCGCCTCACCGAGATCGAGCTCAACTTCTAGACCTGCTTTATTTGGGAGCGCTTTCGTCCGCGCATTGTGGCGTGACAATACTCGAGTCGAGCTTGCGTGTTCGACGTGCACGCAGTCGACAGGAACTGGCCAGGTTTTGTGAACAGGAGCAGCATCTCAGACAGCGATGGGTCTGCGCAGTCCTTCTAGTTGGGATTTGCTGTTACTTCTACTGGCCGGAAGCTTGGTCACATTTGTTTCCGGAAACACCGAGATCGTGAACGTTGACGCTACAGAGAATTGGGATGTTCACTTTCCGCAGTCTCTTAAATGGTAAGTGTTATCATCGCACGAACCCTTCTCTTCCCCTGACTTGACTGAATGCCTCGTTGAATGTAGGCCCATTCTCTCCCCTGAGGTACCGGAACGATTATTCCGAGTGCAACCTGCGCCGCTCCGGACGCCGTTGACACAGGTCTGCGAAGACCTGACAGCCGTACGCTCAGGTGAACCTTGTCCTCACGAGCTTTGGCTTGTCCTTGACTTGGACGACCTGGAATGGAGCGAGTGCTCCAAATACACGCTGCGCATATCATGGCCAGCATCGGTACGCGTGCTCAGCGCGTATGGCAGATCGTGGTCTCATTTGGAACTTACAGTCACCAGCCGACTTTGCCATTCAAACTTACTCCCCTGAATTACTCGATGAAGTGCTTCATCCACGTAATGGCGTGGATGCTGCCAACAGTTCCGTCTTGCCTTCAAAGACAAAACGCACCTACGCACGTATCCGCGTGATCGATACAGGGTTCCGCACTCCAACATTCGGCTACCAAGATTCCGTGCAGCCAGTCCCGTTCATGTTGAAACTCGAGCCGCTTTACCTCGGCGTCCTGCCGATTTCTGTTGCGCCAGTCTTGCTATTCCTCATGGCGGCCGTTGCGTTCGCTACGGTAGTTATCCTGCCCCCAGTCAATCGCTACCTTTCGGCGATAGCTTCCAAGGCGAGAGCGGAAATAACATCTTTACAGAAAAAGCATGGCAAGATACAGTAATGCGTCTGGACAAATATTCATCTAGCTAAATCGATCCGGCTAGAATATAATGAGCCTTCTGATGCAACAGAAAACCGACAAAGGCAGAACCAGCCAATACGGTATGGAGCCTATACCAAGCCACAATATCACCAAGACACTAGCAAATAGCCAACTCATAGCGAATCAAGCAACAGCATCTAACTCAGGCAAATGCACAGCCCCAAGCCACGCCAAGATGATCTCCACCCTCGGGCCATGCAGTGGAATGTTGATATTCAGCTGCTTCTTCTGTCCTTTTATCACCGCCTTCTGCGCCCGCTCGCGCTGGCGCTTCGCCACCGGAGCGAGCAGGATCCGCGCACAACTCAGCACCTCTACCAGGTCCACCCTGTCCGAGCTGCTCGACGGCGTGTTGCGGCCGGACACGGAGGGCGATGCGTGTACGGTCGTGCTGGAGCTCGAGCCGTTGATCCCTATGGAGAGCGTGGAGGTGGACGATGCGAGGCGGTCGCAGTCAGGGGACGGAGGCGTGGGCACGCGTTCGACCTCCTTTGCTTTGGCGGAGGCTGTTGGGCTCTCGATCGCGAGCCTCAAGCCGGATCCGGACCCTGATTGGCTGAGCGAGTGTGGCTGAATACCGTTCTTCCACCCGCTCGCGAGGCGCTCGAGCACCTCCACGAACTCTGCTTGTGCCATGGAGCGCGGAGGCAGGAACACCGGATACCCCTCCAGTCCGTCAACGACCGATGCCGTGCGCGTGAACGTCTGCAAGAGAGAGGGGAAGTCGCCTAGCATGAGCAAGCAAGTGAGAATGCTGTAATGGGATTCGATGAGCAGCGGGTGGTACGTCGTGAACGTTGCAGGACCGTCCGACAGATGGTGGAGCTTGGCCTGGCTTCCGGGGCGGAGCGACTCTGAGAGCAGAAACGCATGCTCAGCGCGGGATGCGATGTCCCCAGTGGTAGCGGCATTCGGCGCGCCCTCCAGCGAGTCAAAATGCGACAAGAACTTCTCGTGGTCACGCATGCTCTTCTTCACAAGCGTCATGATCTGCTCCTGGAAGCTTGGCTCTGCAAGCACCTGCTTGTATGCAGAGAGTTTCAGGCCGTCCTTCTTGCCCAGCGGTCCATCCGGGTGTCCCATCTCGACGCCGCCGTAGCGTCCGTTCTCGATGTAGCAGAGCCGCAGCTCCCCGCCGTCGGCGGTGGGCGCCTTACGGATGTTCTCGAGCTTGAGGATCGCCTCCTCAATGAGGAAGACAGCGTGCTGTAGATAAGCAGCGGCGCGCAGGAAGAGACATTGGGGCTCGATGGGCTCTGGGGCATCAGGCAGGACGGACGGGTGAAATAGGATTGGTTCACCGTCCGGCCCGTCGACGATGGGAAGGTCACCGAAGGACGCGCTGGGGCACGTTCCGTTGGGAGGCGCCTGGCCATTGCTTTTTCCACCGCTCGACTTGCCTTTCTTCTTGTGTCCCTTGCCACGCTGTTTCTCCCCGGACATGTTATTATGGTGAGCGTGCTTCGCTCTGCGCGTGGCACGAGCCTCCTTGAGGGCATGTGAAAAATCCTTTACGGCGAGTGCGTATTCGTCGCGGAAGCAGTGAACGATGCCGCGCGTGCGGTAGAACTCGAGGCGTTGTGGATGTGCAGCTATTAGCTCGTCAAGTAGAGTAGTTGTTGTAGACTCGGCTAGTTGCCTGAGTGTCCATGTCAGTCCATGTGTGAGCAATAGAACTGCTCTAATTCATACCGAGAGGGTATCTTCTCATGGAAAAAGTGCACATATCTTGCATCAACATCGTTCGGGTCTAAGATGGCGCTCAGCGCCAATCGACTGAGGAGCAGTAGACAACTTACCAAATCTCAGCACATGCTCTGCAATATCATCAAAGACGCTTCCTCCTTGCATGACCATGACGCTGGAAGCGATCTCGTCCATTCTATATGCAGCAGCCAGCTTCTGCACGGCCAGCGCACGTAGCCGATGCACTCGCGTTGATGACATCGCAAAATTTCTTCCTCCGTTACCTTCCCCTAACGGGTTCAATCCTAGTGACTGTGCAGTGGCCCAAGGGCTCGCATTCATACCGGCACCTACGCCTTTGAGCGAGCCCAGCGCCACCGCGGAAAGTCCGGAACTTGCACGGACGGATAGTTCAGATGCTTCATCGATCAATCGACGAATGGTGGTGACGGAGCGGAAGACGCCCGGGTCGATGGGAGGGGGAGTAGCCTTGCCTGGCTCGGGCATCGGGAATGGAGGAGGCGTTGGGAGGTTGGCGAACGCACTGCGCGGTGAATCGGGCGGCGAGTGGTCTCCAAGGCTTGCGTAACCCCGGTCACGCGGCCTCGAGGTCGACTTGGAGGATAGAGACGGAGGAAGTGATGGGAGTCGGATACCGGGGGAGGACAGTGTGACCGGGTCGAGGTTCAGAACAAGGAGTGACTCGAGAAGCTCCACGGGAAGCTGCAACCACGGGCCCTACAACAAACGTTAGTTCATGCACGGCATTAGAGACAAGACCCCCTGCATACATCGCGATTAAAAGCTTTCAGTATGTATGAATCCATCTGCATTCCGACACCAACAGTTCGTCTGCACAATCACGTGCAGAGTAGCTAGTCATGGCACGAAAATTCGCAGGTCATGCAAGCATTCTGAAGCTATTTCGGCAGCGTTGGTCGCGGCTGTCGGCCACCAAGAAGCCCAGCGCTGTACCATCGCGGCCCACCTCACGCATTTTTCGCATAGGGAGCGGTATGCAGGGATCCAAACGCGAACTGGACGTACATGGTAGGAGCTAATGTAACGCCAGTGTTTGTTCCTGCTAATGCACAGCATGGGATGTCGGTCTTGGCCTGCTGCCCCGTTCGCTCCACTGGACTTGGTGTTCCCATTCGTGGACTCTTTCGCCTTGTTCGCCTTCTTGGCTTTTCTCTTTCTCTTCTTCTTCAGGGCGCTCAGTTCGTCGGCCTTGGGCGCATCCTCGGCCTTGATCTCAGGTGATGATATGCCAGATGAGCTCGCAGAGGAGAGCCTCAGGGACATGTCTGTAGAATGCGGGGATACTTGTAGAGAGGAGTCGTGCACTGCACAGGTCTGCGTGGTAGCTGGCATTGTTATAATGCACGGAGGTGGCTTCGATTGCGGTGCTGCCTGTGTGGTGCACCAGTGCAGGCGAAGCGCTGCGAAGCGTAAATGCTGTGAAACAGCGCTAAGCTGCCGGAAGCACTCCTGCCTAATCGGGATGTATCACGGGACCGCGACGCGTCTAGCTCTCTTGATTTCACGCCTCGTGTCCTTCAATTGCTACCAGATATCCTCGGCCACATAAAGTTCTTCGCCAGTTTCCAGCTTCAAAGTGTTTTCATGCACCCTTCCGAGAAAAAATCCCAAGGCCTCTGCAACAAGTTTCCGAAGATCTTCTCTCCTACCGGGACACTCGGACTTCATCGTCGTGCCACAGTATCTAGAGCCCGCTTCGTCGAAGGCGTCCAATTTAATGTCATGCTCGAGGCCTTCTTCAAGGATAGACCAATCTTTGTTCTCGAGGTGAAGCTACGGCTCACCTCGCCTCGTCTCTTTGCGTCG